AAATATGCATCCGTGAGAGCAGGGCCATTTTTCAGGCGGACAGTCGAGAGGGTGGCAGAAGTGTTTTTATCCAGTGTTATTTGAGGTGATCGCCACAGAGGTTGGCCATCAAGAAAAAAATAGTTACTCAAGGTGAGCCATGACTTGCAGATGAAAGAGAGGGAACAGGAAAAGCTGCATGTGTTTGCTGCAGCTTTGGAGTTCTACAGGATAGAGATCCTGTCTGGTAGTCTGAATTGGGCAAAAATTTAACCCTTTTCTCACACCTCGAGGCATTTTAAAACTCATCTCAGTTCTTTCAGTCATTCGGACTACACAGAGATTTGTTTATGTGCAACAGCTAATCCCAGAACACTCATCTCATGAATTTCATCTATATCTATCTACCATAACTCTCTGTCAGATAGCTGTGTTGCGTTATGCCGTGTGAACTTTTAAACTGGAAGTAATGGCGTTTGGCGGAGGCAATTTAGTTTCTAAATTGAAAACTATGCAAATATGCTACGCTGCGCAGCTTTTGCAGGCTTCCTAAAATTTTATCCTGCAAGATTTATGTCCGGCGTAATGGCCTTGTTGTGTTTTCATATATTTAAATAGCAGGACTCAAAGAGCAAGGCAGGGCTAAACTGGGTTCAGCCTTAAAAGTTTTATAAGGTTTAGCTGTAATTTCATATAAACTGCGCCGATGAAAAGCCCGAGGCCACACCCCCCTCTGCGGCACGCTGGTTTTATCTCGCCCTGCCTGTGGATCACAATTTTGATTTAAGAAGCTCCGAAGCCTTGCAGTGTTCTGACAACAACTCTAGCTAAATTAATAGTTTCTGTTTTCAAACTAGTTGCATCATCCAAGTGTTATTGTGGTGTGTGTGTGTGTGTTAAATATTTAAAGGGTTTAGGAGTGATATGTGCACTGCTGTCTAGGCAAAGCTAAGAAAAGGTGTCATTGTGGCCAAAATACAGCCAGTTTTTTTTGACTATTCCTTTTTGAAAACAGAAAACATTTTTATGATAACGTATTTATATATTTAACTAGATTATATAGATTTCATTACATACTGTAAGCTCTTAAAAGCATGAAATGGGCTTTTTTTCTTATTTGCTGCATTTGACGTCACAGCTCAGAACAGTCAGTAGCTAATCAGAGCTGACATGATTTCCTTTGGCTCTAGAGTGATTTGGTGATTGGTTCAAATTCTGTGTTTGCCAATGAGCAAAGAGGGAAGCATGCAGGGTGAATGGAAATTTTCTCCCGGTATTATAGCATTTATAGGCAATAAACTATTTAGACCCATGATTGCTTATTTTCTCCTCCAGAAACCGTTTTCTTCTCTACTCTGCGAGCAAAATATAAATGTAACACCAACCACATTGTCATTGTAATTTAACATTTAATTATTTTTTTAATTCATTGTACCTGATGCGTTCTGAGAATTTTTGCAGCATCCATCTTGTTAAAAATACACCAGCGTGCTCTTTTTGTCTGAGCCCTTTACATCATTTTAAATTCTTTTTTTCTCATTATGTGAAGCGTTACATATTTGTTAGTCTAATGATGCTGTATTCAAACTCCATTAATTAGCAGAGTGTGCAGAGAATGGTTAGGTAGAGAACTAAAAGCAGACAAAAGCCTAGGTAATAGCTTAGATCATTTTCATTGTTTGGACTGATTTAAGCAAGCAACATTTTAATTACTTTTTGGTGTAGACAAGCACAAAGTAGAAAAAGATAGCAAACTATTTGGAAAGGAATGAAGGGGCTGTGTACTGTTAATCATCCCTATGTCTTTTTTTTATATAATGGTTTGTAAATTGGGCTACACTGAAGCTGTAAAATGACAATAAACCTGGTTTGAAGACTAGCTGTTTTTTGTTTTGTTTTTTTTGGCTGTGAGCAGGTTTAGGCAGGTTTTTTTTGCATTTTATCATTGATTTTTAGAAAAAATCTGCGGAAATGTGATAAATGGCGCTGATAGTATAAATGGTAGCTGAAAACATTAGCCAGATTTTGAACACGTAAGGGCAGGAGTGCACATGCACTTCTTTGTTTTGTTGTGTTTTGTGGTTTGGTGTGGTGTGGTTTGGTTTATTTTGGTCTGTTTTTTTTTTAAATTTGTTTTGGTTTGGTTGTTTGGTTTGATTTGGTTTGTTTGTTTTGTTTGGTTTTCTTTGGTGTGGTTTTGTTTTGTTTTCTTTGGTGTGGTTTTGTTTTGTTTGGTTTTCTTTGGTGTGGTTTTGTTTTGTTTGTGTATGTTTGATTTTGTCCTGGTCATATCTTTTCTTTGGAAAAAAATAAAATAAAAAAAATCTCATCTTAGGTGCTTGATGTGTTTGTGTAGTGGTATAATTTTCTTTAAGAAGGCCTGGAATCAAATAAAATCCTATATAGTATATCTAGCATAATCGTATAATTTAATATGTCCTTTTTGTTAATGACATTTTTTTTTAATAAAACCAATTTTAGCTTTACAGATACCCAATTTTATTTATTCATATATTTTTTTTTTATGTATTTATTAAATTTTTTCTAATTTGTAAATCATGTTTGTCCCAGTCCTGTGAAAATCTCTTTCTGAGACGTGTGGGCCTGGCTGTGAGATGTACTCCTGAGCACAATCCCACACAAATAAACATCTGTTAAATTTATGGACTCATCCAACATACAAAACTAAATACTGCTGCATCCTGCAGTGCATGCACAGAAAATCCTGCGATGAACAGATGAAACCATATTCCATGGGTCAGTGATAGCATGAGTGCATACAGTGTGGTAGAGTTACGGGCATATAGATTAATCAGATTAGCTATATTAAGCATAATTTGTCTTTTCTTTTTTGACAGAAGCAACAGTGCATTGTGAGCTACATGTCAGAACAACCATCAGTCTGTATTTTTTATTATTTGGAGAACTTACCACAGAGTACGTCTGTGCAGACACAAGGTGTTCTCGTACCTATGCTAATGTACCATCTTGTGCTGAGCTGTATTCCACTGATGTGTGGAAACTAGTAGTTTCTAGAGAAGCAGGAGGGCATTGTTGGATACATGAGGGTGGAGGATACGCTTTGTCTGCAGTCAGAGCAGATCGAGATGGTGATATTATACCGGCCGACTCCAGTGCGTGGAGATTGCAATGTTTATGCATGCGGCATATACGCAGTACATGCGTAAGTGTATATATGTAGCATTTAAAGTAAGCTGTGTATTTCTATTTTTCTTGTGGTTATACAGTCACAGCGTTGTTTGATACAGAAGTAATTTGACAATGCTCACGTACCCTAAGAAAAACACGTGATGATTCTGGAACAACCCCCTATTAAACCATTATGAGATTATAATTAGCATGACGTCTACTGAAACAGTCTATTTGTTATTCATAGGGGACTACGATTTTTTTTATTGAGGCATTGTTAACAAATAAATCCTCATTAGTGATTTTCCCACTCAGTGTTATTGCATGTAAATAGGATTTTAATGTCATGATATTTATTAGACTGAAATGCTTTCGGCTTAAGACATTTAAAGACCAACCGGACTGAACCTTTTTGTCTATGCATGTTTTTAACAGCTTTTGCTAGGGCTGGGTGATATAGCCAGAAGTATTCACAATATATATATTTTTTTTTTATATCACGTGATATGTATATATATATTATTAATGGGGAAGGAAATGCTTTTCACCTATTTGTTAAAGAATGAATGGAAATATGTTTGTTCACTTTTTTTAACTCCCCAGAGCGAGCTAACTAGTTATGATTTAATACAAATATATCATCAAAAATGGTGTCTAATGAAATGAATTAATAAACAATTAAATTAACAATTAAATAAGTCTTTTAAAATGTAATTCATCAAAAATATAACAATTAATTTGCAACAAAACAATTATTTTCTCAAATAATATGCTGCAAAACAGAACTCTATAAATTAAAACGTGGATGAAAGAATGTCTTTGTTGTATTATATTCCTTAAAATAAGAATATTATTATTGTTACATTGAGAAATACATTTTAATATACAGTAGTAGTATATTTCTGTCATAATTTCTTATTTGTTTCAAATTCAATGTGTATTTGACAGTAGTTTATCTTAAAGCAGTTGAAAGTGCTTGTGAAGTGACTCTCAGAACAGCTCTGGAGATGAAGTTCATGTGGGCTGTCCTCATATATTGAGATGGCAGACGCTGAAAACTGAGCGTCATGTCCGAGTTTGTGTAGTGGATGAAACCCAACACACTCAGAGACACACAGAGCATGCTGTGTGATTGGCTGTTAGATTAATCCATATTAAGTAAAAATGTCCAGAGCTTATCATCATTTCATTGCAATTTCGAAATCATTGATCGCCCAGCCATACTTAAAGCTATGGTACCTGAAAGACTTGTGGGCAGCCAGCCATTATCTTAAGGTTAAAATGGCTAAAACCAAAATAAAAAAGTTGTTTTGCTTGTCCTTTCAGTCTATCAGAAACTAAAAAAGTCAGTGTTATAGAGTTCAGGGTCAGTTAAAATGTGCTCATCAGCTGCCATCAGAGCGGCTATAAAAAAATTTAAAAAAAAAAAGACCCGACAACTTCTTATTTCATCACAGAAATTAAAACTGCATGCAGTTTGCTTTTCAAATGGAGGTGAGATCTGGAGCAATTGCGAAAATATGAATAAGTTATGGCTTTCTTATTTTTTAGAGGTAGGGGAGGTCAGACGAATGCTGCTGGGACTAAACTCAAAGATCTTCAGGATAGAAGTTGCAGGTTGGATTTCAACCGTGCAGTGAAAGTCTCCATGGCGGTTTACAATGTGCAGAGCCTACTTTCCGAAGCAGAAAATCTGTATTTCATGCCCAAAATGGGCATTAAGCCTGCACTGGAAGTGATGCCACAAAAAGTCTGGGTGCTTTAGAAGCCCCTGCGTCGAAATACCTGCGACATAACATTTGCTCATGAATTTTAATATGTTTGGGTTTAGTGGGGGGGCCTTCATTTGCAAGAGAGCATGATAAAGACGGATGGCGAGAAAGGGAGGCTGGATAAAAGAGAAAGCGAACGGGGAGAAAGAGAGAACAGGGGAGTCCCTGAGACAGATGTCACCCTCACTGCAGATTGATGGCTCTTGGCCAGTTTCCACGCCAAGCTTTGACCCCGCTGTCCTTTGCAGTAATTTATAGGTGGCGTTTTTAAAGATTTAAGCACTATTTTGTGGCCATCATGGCCTCGGACAGAGAACGACCTTCTAATTCAGGGTCGCAGTCGGTCCAGAGCTAAAAATGAACCCGCCTGAATCCGTGCGGATCTGACAGTGCGGTTCTGAATGTGTGCATTTGTTGTTGTATTCTCACAGGCCAGCCTGATTAATTAAAAACCCTGTTTGTTTTGGAGATGTGGATTTATTTTGAATATACAGTGTGAGTTTGTATGACATTCAGGGTAATAACTTTCAGCTTGAAGCATAGACTGGAAAGAGGACGTGTAGGGAGACTAGACACCCTGCGCAGCTTTTGGCTGTGCATTCAGTGGACCCAGCTGGGTCTGGTGTTGGCTGAGGTGTATGAGAGGCCCTTATGTCTGCAGCAGTGGCTGGCGATCTGGGGGGAGCCTCTCTAGCACATCATCACTCATTTGCAATTTAACGGCCCCAGAGATCACCCTTTCCCAGCATGGCAAAGCTTATTAGCAGAGGTTTTAAATCATAATCTCAAGTGAATCTACTGCCCTATCCTTCCCCTTTCAAGACGCCCGGCCAGTGGAGTCCACCAGGGCGGCGCTAAAAAAAGAGCTGTTTTGTTTATTCTTGCAGGGTTCAGATCGAGTCCAGAGATGTCTATAATATCTGGAGAAAACTCTTTTGGCATTCCCATTCACCTAAATGGATCAAATAGACATTTCACAAGTCCACTGAACATATTTAAGAGCCTCCAAAAAGAATGTTACTGGTAAAACATCTGTTGTAATATAATGCAATATTTGTGATTTATCTTTATTTGTTGTTTTAGTGTTATTATTAAAGTAACAAGTAAAGATAATTTAATCTTAATGCACAACTTTTGAAGAAGGCACATTTTAGAATTTTAATTTCTTTTTTTTTATTCTAAAAATGACATTTAGAATTTCACTTGCATTTTAGAAATTGAATTTTTAATGCATTAACATTCAAAAAATCTTCTGCATCTATCTATCTCTTTTATTATGTTCGTCCATCCATTGTTCTATCATTCTATCTATCATGCTGTCATTCTGCCATTCTATCTGTTATTCCATCTAGCTATGTATCATCTGTCTGTCTGTCTGTCAGTCTTTCTATCCAGTGTTCTTTCTCTTTCTAGTTGAAAATTAATTTACATTAATCTCTTTGGTCACACTTTTTTTAAAGTTTCAATACTTGCTATTAACAAACCATTAATTTACTCATTTCCTGCTTATTAAAAGTTAATAAGGTAATTAAGTTTAGGTATTGGGTAGGATTAGAGATGTATCTTTATAAACAGTACAAGTACTAATAAACAGACAATATGTTATTAATAGGCAATAAGCATACTAGTTAATAGTGAGAATTGGTCTCTATAGTAAAGTGTTACCATTTCTTTAAAAAATAATCATTTTTGATTCTGTTTGGAAATATTATTTTTGCAATTAATTTTTTTTGCTTAGATATTAGACTCTTCATCTTCTCTTCATCAAGAAATTGCCATAAACACAGTGTACTTTTGCTTTGTTTCTTTCCTAAATAAGCATCCTTCATTAGTTTCAATTCATGACTCTGTTTTCCCTTGAGAGACCCCCAGTCGATTCAGACATATTTAGACCTGTCTGGAGATAGCAGGCTACATTATAGTTCTTCACGGAACATTATGGCTTTGTAATAATGTCCCAGGCTTTGATGACACTGATAACTACAACTGACTAAAAATGCTGTATTTAGTAGGCAAATGATCTAGTCTATGCAAACTTAATTCACATGTCATGCCCACATGTAGTTGCACGCTGCTTCGCTACCTCGGATGCCCTGCCTGAGGGCATTCAATTCACAAAAAAGACATGAAATTGAAGCTCTGCAGTCTTATTCAAGGAGTGAAAGATAGTGTTGGGTTCCTCTGCCAAACGGATAAATATGACGAGTTTTGAGAATTGTAGAAACGCTTTCCACCGTGGGCCTCCTCACCCTGAGCAGCTTAGCTGTCCTCTTTTTAAAGGAGTGAGGAACATGGGTATCAGCGTGAAGCAGCCGCGAGGGCCTTCGCAGCCTGCGTCTGTGTGCATGTGCCGGATTTTAGGAGAGCAGCCATAATGCTCGGTGTCCTGCAGATAGTCAGCACGACTTCCTGTCTGGGCCACGCTCACGTTGGAAGCGCGCGTTTGATAAAATGTCGTCTGTTTACAAATCCTATTATGCGTGTCCTTGGAGTTGATTGCCTGTCCATGTTAGCTTTAGTAAACGTCTTAATTGCGTTAAATGGGTAGAAAAGCTGGCAGATTAGAAGCCATTAATAAGCGTTGTGTGAGCGAGCGTATTCCCGAGATGGCACTTTCGTCGGGTTGGCAGGCGAGAAGGGAGAGAGTATGCCAGCGTCACCTTGAAACTCGAAAACACTGGAGAAACAGGTCATTGTGTCTCTGCTGAAAAGAGGTACACATCGCTCTCTCTCTCTCGCTTTCTCGCTCGCTCTCTGCACCCTTTACACTCTCTTTGGATTCTCTCTCTCCCTCTCGCTCTCCCTTTCCATCTGAACAGTAGATAAGCTCACTGAGGGAGAGTTTAAAGGACTCTCCATTTGTGTATAAATAGCTTAGAATGAATTATTGAGGGACCCAGGGTTACTAATAATCCCCCTGGACCCATCCGACAATGACATAGAAGATGGAGGGAAAACAATTACACAGGGTATCTCCTGAGGAGGACTGGGTGGAAGGATGAAGGGGGGTGCAGATGAAGACGCCGCAGAAGCCCCTCACCGGCTTCCCGTCTTGGCTAATAAAGCCAATTAAGTCAGTAGAATCAATGGGCATGTGAGCAGTCCCGGAAAGAGGAAGCATAATGATTCATGTCCTCCGCCCGGAACGTCCCGTCCCTTTTGTCCACGCAGCCGGGAGGGCAGCGGGACACTGATGGGATGAGACAAGGGGACCGTGGGGGAATATTAAGGAGCTGTTTGTGTCTGCTGGTGTCAATGCAAGGACGGCACCAAGAGGGTGAGAGGTGCAGACAGACAGGCCGGTCACCCTGCCACGCTCTCGCTCGCTTTCGGCGGGACGGTCTCTACGCTCTAGTCTGTCTGCGCTTCAGCTCTAGCAGGTGGATCTTGGCCCGATCTTCAGACTTTAGATCCTGACCTCTGAGGTGCTTCTATGTCACTAGGATTAATTTTTATTAAAAATAACATATTTTAAATTTGTTTTGTTAAAGAGGTTTTAATAAAAGTTGACTCCCTGTGCAGTAGAAATGTGATTTACAAAAATGCAGAAGTACGATCTGTTGTTTTCACAATGATGTTTTACGCATTTTTTTTTTTCAGCGAACTACCCTTATAACATTAAAACGTTCTATCATGCATTCATCATGTACTTTTTCCTACTTTTCAAATGACTTTTGTGTATAGACTGTATTTTACCCTTGACTTTCAATGTTAATCTATTAATATCTGTCGTAAAAATGTGAATCAGTACATATTTATTAATATAATTAGCGACATACACAATTTCAAAATTTAGTGTGTGAAAATGATTAAGGTAAATATCAGTGCACAGAATGTTTTTGTGGCCATTTGTGTAAAAATATGAATTGTGGATATTTAGGATGCATAAAATACATAAAGTCCTTAGCAAGACAAAAGAGTTTACCTTTATTTTCCAGAAATGTTTAAAATGTATTCATGTGAATTTTCAGCATCATTACTCCAGTCTTCAGTGTCACATGATCCTTCAGAAATCATGCTTGATTTGCTGATCAAGAAACATTTCAATGTTGTAAATAAGATGTGCTGCTTATTTTTGTAGAAATACATTTGATCTTTTTTTCAGGATTCTTTGATGAATATAAAAGTTCAAAAGAACACCATTTAATTGTGAATACGTTTTTGTAACAATATAAATGTCTTTACTGCCACGTTTGCTCAATTGAATGCGTTCTTGCTGAATAAAAGTAATAATTTCTTTAAAAACAAAATCTTTCTGTTCCCATCTTTTGAAAGGTAGTGTATGTGATAGTTTTTGTCAGTTATCTTTGAGCGATTTTTGGTTTTAGAAATTAGCATGCTGTTGAAATAAGTGCATGGTTGCTGGATTTGTCATATATTGTGAAGTGACATGGTGTTTAAATAAAAGACTTGCAAGAACCGCAAGTGGTCAGTCACTTGTCTTGAATTTGCAAACTCTTCAAACGCAATTGAACATTCTGCTTTGTTATCAGAGTTATGCCTTTGAAGTATTCAGTACTTGGATGGCTCCATCCATACAAATCTGACCAAAAAGTCAAAAGGTTGTCTGCAGAATTGAAAGAGTGCACAGTAATTTAAATGAGCTTTCACTTTGTCGCAGAATAACCTAGTTTAATTCCAATAGTCAAAAGTTTGATTTATAGAGCAGATTGCAGTTCTGAATGATTTTATTAGTGACGAAACATCTGTGAATGAAAACTTTCAGGGCTGAAGTCCCAGAAGCCCAATCCTAGCGTTGCCCATGTATCCGACCCTGCCAGTGGGAAGGTTGATTTTAAACCACTGCGAAATTCCGCATTACCATTTTGATTAGTCCTGTGACTTGGTAACACATTTTAGAAACCCTGACTTTACCGACTTCCTGCATGACATCTCGCTAACAAGCTCTCGGTATTAAACACGCTCCCTCACGTCTTTGCTCTAACAATACTATGGGTATATTTGGTAAGCCAAAGATATTTTATGCCCTCTTTTAGTGCAACCTTCAGTTCTTGTGTTTCAGAGCCTGGCAGACGGGCTTATCCTTGATACTTCTGCGCAACCCACAGTGCCAGGATGCAATTGACTGTCCAGTTCTGAACACCACATGGTTGAATTTTCTATTATCTGTCCAAAAGGTGATGTAAATTCAATTCAAAAAGGCTTGGTAGAATTAAGCTGTGTGTGTGTGTGTGTGTGTGTGTGTGTTTGAGAGAGAGAAAGAGAAAGACCTGCCTTATACTATAA